ACTGTTCGTCAAGAACAGGTTGACCACCATATGTCAAGGGATGTGCGGCATGAAAGTGATTGTTTATTGTTGTATATGGCATTGCAAACCATTCTGATGCTTTTCGCATGCTCATTCTTCCCTTGCGCACTGCATCTAACGCTCTCTCTAAATACACACCGTCATAGTTTTTCTTACCATAAGCACCCAGTCTCTTTACGTATTTTCGAGGCATCTATAAAAATAAAGAAAAAAAAATATATAAAAAACGATTGGCCCCCGCCCTGCCCGACACCTCTCATATGTTAGCACACAAAATTCATATGAGGAAATCATACAAAAACAAATTGCCTTAAACATAACCCCAAAATCTAACAAAATACAGCGGAAACCAAGTGATCCATTTCACCCCATTGTTTTGTTTCTACATACAAAAATTTCAATTAATACTACACAAAAAATAAATTAGCATGTTTGATTGGGGACACCCTATCTTGACTATATTCTTTATCTTCTAGAGGGGTTCAGACGGGCCCAGTGCTTATAGATTCGGCTGTGGAAGTATTTGATTTCACATACCTTACAAATTGATAAATTCTGCTTTCTTATTATTTAATTATTTTCGGAAAACTCACTTTTCACAATTAACCAGCACCATCGGTACAATGGTTGTTCGCCTGTTGGCCACAGGAGCGTAAATTGAAATCAGCTGATTTGTAATGCCTTGTTGCCATAATGCTTAAGAGCAAATGAAAAACGCGGTTTGATCAACTACACCCCTGCCGATCGACTTCACCCCGTTTGACGGTACTCCTATGTATAGTTTAGTATGAGTACATTCTCACTTTTGGTATGAATAAAAAATTGTTTATGCTCTTCGGCGGGAGAATCTACTCCATAGTTTTAGAGTAGTGCTATGCAGTAGACTCAACTTTCTGCTTCAAGTTATTTCAGTACCGATTTTCCCTCGGTAGAAGGAAAAGCTATGGCAGAGTTCTTCAATCTTAACCTGCGTTTGGAAAAATTTTACAAAGCTAGAAAAAATACGTGTGATCGGGACTTTAAAACGTTGTACCGGTTTAGTAAAGAAAATGTGGAATGGTTATCAAATCAATTTTTGGGTGAAGAGTTTGGAGAAAGAAGAGGTGGGGCTTTATGCAACAAAGACAAATTTAAAATATTTTTAAGATACGTGGGTGACCCGGGGTTTCAGGCAGGAGTAGGCGAGAATGTTGGTGTTCATCAAACTTCGGTGTCTAAAGTTGTATCGGAAGTAGCTGATAAGATAATTCAGCAAAGTGAACGGTGGATCAAATTTTCTCGCAGTCCTTCGGATATAATATTTATCCATTCACAATACGATGTCCACAGGTACAGGTAAAATTTATCACCTTTCAACGCTATTTGATAGGGAAAGGTGATAAATTTACCCGTACCTGAGGACATCGGATTGTGAATAGGATATAGAGGCGAAAGAGCGGTGGCAAGCAAAATTAAATGTTGAGTATCTACTCTATGTACTAGGAGTATGTACTTATCCAACCGAAATCTTTTTTATTCTTACGAAATGGAGTATAAGCTCAGACTTCATACTCGTGCTCACGAGTATATACTCCGAGTTTATACTCAGTTTTTATTCATACCACCCATTGTCACATTCTAGAACATTTCCAGCTAAGTTTACTAAAAGATTCAGTTCATTTCATCTCAAGTACTTATGTAAGTTATTTTTGTCGTGTGACTAATAAACCAGAGTTTGCTGAAAATTGTTTTCTTTTTTATATTTACTTCTACATATTAAAGCAGCTTTTTTATACCTATTTAAATTTTTTTTAAAAAATAAAAACCTAATTTTCAAAGTGTGAATACCAGGGTTATTGGTAATTCACAGAGATGTGATAAGGGAGGAGGTGAAAAGTGAATTTAACTGTAACATGAATTATGCAAATCTCAATTTTTTTAAAGATATTTCAATGCTTTTGTTTGTTTTAAAAACTGACCTAAATGCCTTGAAAATTAATTTGCAAAAAATCTACCGTATATTTTTTCAACTTTAAACATAAGACCATATACATGTTGGACAAGTAACCCAGTAGAGAAGTTGAGAAAATGTACAGTAGATTTTTTCCGAATTAATTATTTTTAAGGCAATTAGGTCTATGTTTTCATGAAAACATAGAAACATTGAAATACAAATATTTCGGGGCGCCTGCGCCTTCTTCTGGCAGATAATAATGGCGGTTTATAAGAGGATAGCCCCTTGCGAGCCGCGGATGGCCTGCCGTGCCTCTACCAGCCCGGCTATCTACCATCGGCCCGTCGTCGGTTATGCCAAGCTTTGCCGAGGCTAAATGGTTGGCTAGCCGACTTTTAGCGACCTTACGGCCTGGCGGACATGCCCTACCTACACGCCGAGCCGGCCGACGTTGGCGGGCCGCACACGGCAGCTCAGCAAATCACTTTCGTCCCGTTGTCGGACCAGCCAGTCCGTGTTTGTTGGGCGGCTTCAAACAAAACAGAGCGTTGCTCTCAGCGAGATTCACGTGCTCGACTTGAACAAAATAGTTGTATTCCTTCCACACCTAGGAGGAGCTCCGCAACAGCTCCGGGGCTTCACGCGCTTATTCCTTTCGAAAAGTGTTTTTTGCACCACGCATCTGTTACCTGCAAATCGGGGGCGACTGAGCACCGGAGCGAGTAGCTCGAGTGTTTCAAACTCTTGAAATGAATACAACTAATAGAATGCTCTCAAATCTTGCACAGAGCGTTCTTTCTTGTTCCTTCAAATTTGATGGATCAAAGGGTCGGTTTCTCAAATAACAAGTCACCTCCGGGTTGGTTTAAAGTAGTTTTAACTCCAGGGTAAACGTTCCAGTTGCGAACATATTTTTAGTCATTTAAGTGGGCCCGGATTCCGAACCTACGATTCGATAGTATCGTCAGGTACTTTAACAGTAGTTTATTTGGCATGACCCAGTGCACTCCCTGTGATGTCACGTTACTCCGTGAACGCTCCGCCGACCGTAAACTCAATCATGGCCAAAGAGTGCACCTTGTCAAGCCAAATACATTTGTGCAAAAGTACGAAAAGTACCTTTTAGCTTTGTTCGGGTTCGAAAAAAGGTCGGTTCTAGAACATTGGGTGTCTCCCTTAAAAATGCTACGTATCGCTTCAGCCAATGTATCTTCATCATGCTACATTTTTTTTCTGGTAGCAAAACGGAAATGACCGGAATGAGGGTGGTTACGCAAATGGGATTAAGAAAAGGAACTTAGTTTCTACCTTATAGGGCTGAGAGTGCCAGCTAAACTCCAGTCGGGAGTGGTCGAGGGTTAAAACAGAAGAAAACTCTAGAAAATAGGTAAAATTTTGGACGCCACCCGTTTTATGGCCCTAAAGTAAGGTAGAACGTTAGCTGAAAAAAAAAACATCTAAAACGGGAAACCTAAAGGATTTCACCCAATTTGGAAATCAAACTCTGTCGTAAATAATAAAGGGGCATTTTATTCAAGTTTGCCGAGATTCATTGTAAGTACTTGATTTAGATATTTTCAGTACCTATAGATAATTAGTATTATCAAATCGGTATTATTCAAATCAATTTAAGTAAATTAAGTGAAATTGTTGAATACTCTCTAACTAAATAAAACAGAAACAAAAAGGTACCAACGCAACGTCCTTTGCATATATGCTTCGGCTAACACGGTTGAACTATCTATAAGGAAAATTAATAACTAATTACTTAATTAAGGTAAAATATATATAACTAATTACTTGATTTATTTGATTAAGATTCAAATATAAATGATTCATGTACTAGTGATTTGGCTTTTCAGGGTGTTTAGGTCGATTCCGCGTATGTACGAAGGGCTTTTCGAGCCTGGGACGGTTAAGATAAATTAGAACGAACCCACCTGGATATCCTGGAGTTGGTAGCGTCGGGTTATTTAGCTACGAGAGATATCAGGAAGGCGAGAAGGCGTGGGCTCACGCGTCGTGGAATTGTCGGCGTCGTGATTGCGTCACCGGACCAGAAGTTACGGGACATCGAATTCTCTCGAAATGGTATGCCAAACCAAACTTTGTCCAAACCATGGATTGGAAGTTTAGAGGGGGAATCAATAATGGAAGATAAAAACAACAGACAGGCCTAGAAAGAGAATTTGGAATGTATCGGGTACTAATTCAAACGAATATCCGTCATTATAGAAAATTCCAGAATAAAAATGCACACTTACCAGTGATTTCAGGCGGCCATTTTGTGTGTAAATCCAGTAAAAAAAAAGAACTCAAGGAATTTAAGTTTTAAACCCGAAACTTTGAGTAAATCAGCAAAAAGAATTGCTCGGGGTGCTAAAATAGTGAAATTAGCCACCCACAATCAAAATTCGGAATAAATTCCAACGTAAATCGGCAAAACGCCTGAGAGTACCGTACCTCAAATAACGCACACTGCAAAGGAGGCTACAGTACTGACTGCTTGAGGAATGAACATCGTAGTATTCACCTTTTTTTTTTCTTTTCTGTAATACAATTAGTTAGGTACCCCAAAAGTGTTGATTTTGGCTTGACCGTACGGACTGGTACTTTTGGTTTATTTATAGGATGGACAAAATAATTTTAAATAGCATTTAAACATTTCATTAGAATTATAATATATTTCCTAAAGAAAATTAAATTAGATATTTTCTTGGCAAATAGACCCGTAACAATCAACATAGTTCTCATTCACATGAAAGAGGTTTTTTCTTCTATAAATTGTGCTTCTTGACACTCCTAACATTTGAGAAATATCTTTACAATCAATTCCTATGCTTCGCAAATGAAAAATTTGATCTCGATTTATATCATAATGGGGTCGGCCAACTTGGCCAGATGATGCTGTTGGTACTGTATAGCAATTTCCAGCATTACCTTTAGCTGTTTCTACAAAACACACATTTCCATTTACCTAGTTTATTCTAGCAAATTAAATTAAAATTATTATTAAAACAGTAGGTAGGTATTTATACATACAAACCTTCTAAAATGACTCCAATTGCTGCAACAGAATCCAAACAATTTCATAAATTTTAGCTACACTTAATTCTACGTTGTTAGACAAAATAGGGAACCTTGAAAATACAACGCTCACTGTGTGACAACAATTTTCCAAATGACTTGCACATTCTTCGATTAATCGAATATCCAGAGGTTGTACAAGTAATTGTTGACCTCTTTCCACTTCATCGCCCAATTCCCGGAAAAAATCGCACAACACAACCTCAGTTATCATTCACCAGTGTTGCCGTTGCCGCGCTTATGACAATACATAATTATCATCACGCAATTATCAATGCACCCTAATTGCAGCTATTTAAATTACAAATCAACGGCCCTCCAAAATACCTTATTTCAATCCAACACACCATACACAAACAAAAATTATGATCAAAAGTAGCGCCATCTCTCGGAGACTTTTCAAACTAAAAAGTTTTATATCGAACTTTGCACGGTGCCAAATTCAATATAAATAATATTTTTTCAAAGTTTTATAAATATCAAATTTTGCATGGGGCGAAATTCAATATATATATTTTTTCAAAGTTTTATATATATCGAACTTTGCACGGTGCCAAATTCGATATAAATAATATTTTTTCAAAGTTTTATAAATATCGAATTTTGCATGGGGCCAAATTCAATATATTTATTTTTTCAAAGTTTTATATAGATCGAACTTTGCATGGTGCTAAATTCGATATACAGGGTGGGGACTTTAACTGGAACTAATTCGCTAGAGCCTTCGAATAAAATATGTGGACAAAACGCAAAAACACGTCGATCAAGATTTTTTGCTTGAGTTTTTATCACATTAATTTTTTTATACAGGGTGTTCCAAGAACAGCTGTACGGTTGTCAACTTTATTTTTCCAAATGGTAGTCCCTGTATATTATGACATTTCTGGATTCTGCAGAAAATTCTAGACATATTTCATTCACAATGTCATATACCTATCTTCAACTGTTTCGGAAATATTGACAGTTGAAAATGGACTTTTTTGCAACTTTGACAGGCTGTAAAACCTTAACGGTTAATTTTAGAGGAAAACCGATTTCACATTCCTATATTAGATTTTCATAAGCTATCATTTGACACCAATCCATGATTAAAAATTCCAGTTAAATTCAATCTCCAGTTAAATTCAAAGTTAGTATCAAATGATAGTTTATGAAAATCTAAGACAGGAATGTGAAACTGGTTTTCCTCTAAAATTAACCGTTTAGGTTTTACAGCCTGTCAAAGTTGCAAAAAAGTCAATTTTCAACTGTCAATATTTCCGAAACAGTTGAAGATAGGTATATAACATTGTACATGAAATATGTCTAAAATTTTCAGCAGAATCCAGAAATGTCATAATATACAGGGGCTACCATTTGGAAAAATAAAGTTGAAAACCGTACAGCTGTTCTTGGAACACCCTGTATAAAAAAATTGATATGGAAAAATTTCAAAAAAAAAATCTTGATCGACGTGTTTTTGCGTTTTGTCCACATATTTTATCCGAAGGCTCTAGCGAATTAGTTCCAGTTAAAGTCACCACCCTGTATATATTATTTTTTATTTTAAATATATGCAAAATGCTGGTCATTTTTATCTATATATTGTTTTTCCTGCAAAATATTTTATATATAAGACGAAATAATTATGGAACATATGGCGCTCCATAGGAAAACGTCATTTCGATCAAAAATAAACTTGTACAGTTTTTTCACCGGAGTCTCAAATTTTTAGATCCAAATATATATTGGCGACGGCTCAATCAAACATAGTCAAACTATATATTTTTGGAATCGAAAATTTATATTCTTGGAGAATACCGAACAAAATATAGAACCTTCTATTAGAAAAAATTTAATCAATGATGGCATCTGAAAATTCAACAAAAAATCTGTGTTAAATTAGTTCAAAATGGAAAAGAAATCAACAAATTCCTTAAAATGCCGTGTAGTTAATTCAGCGACTATTGAAAATTTTGTCGAAAGGTATAAGATCAAGATTTTTTTTTTGCCACTTGAAACAATGAAGAGTCATTCCAAGCAATATAACATAAGTACATATCAATTGCGTTAATTTTTTTTTTGTTGTTTCAGATCAGTCGAGAATTATACTATGACGTATGAAATATGTACCTGAGGGATAAAGGAAGGCACGTGGCCTTATCGCAAGCTCTTATAATAATTTCCTCACCTGAAAGCTTATTATAAAACAAATAAATTTTTATTATTCCTGTATTACATCAGGATTAACTTTTTTTTATGATTTACAGTATTTTTGCTCAATTTTAGCTTAATTTATAGGTAAATAAGGCAGAATTTTAATTGAATAATGCTTATTTGGTTAAGAATTATGAAAAACATTGACTTGATTGAGGATATGAACATAATTTACCCCTAAACACGTAGTTTTTAATTCTTAAGAAGTGAATATTTTTTGAATATAGATATCTATGTATTATTAGATATGTATTTATTTTGGCTTAATATCTATACAAATTAGGTAATATTTTTACGAAGGCAATTTGAACAAATAGATTTACGACTTATTCCAAAAGCAGGTACTGCTGATAAAAATTATCTAGTTTTCAATAATTTACTGTAATAAAACAGTTTTTGGGAATTATAAATACGAACACTTAAAATTAAAAATCAGTAGGTAGTTGAGAAAGTAACACTCGACAATGAAGGGTATATTCTTATTTTTGGCTTTGGCCGTAGCGCTTGTTAACTCAAGTAAGTTTTGTGCTACCTAATTTTTGTATCATAGAAAGCATTATTTTATTTTTCCAGCTAAAAAAGAAATAGTCTGCTATTTTACCAACTGGGCCACCTACAGACCTGATATCGGCAACTTTCAACCTTCAGACATCGATCCAAGCCTATGTACCATCATCAATTACGCGTTTGTAGGTGTATGGGGTGATTCTGGTGAACTGAGGGTGCTCGACGAATGGTCAGATGTGAATCTTGGTAAGAGTAAAAAAGATTTTTTTCCACAAGCGTGCGTTTTTGTCCACTTTCCCGCACGCATTTTAATTCGGAAACTATCTTTTTTCCACACTGCGTACCTAGAACACCTGTATAGAATTTACTATTCCATCATATTAATAATAAATATTTTTTTTTTGGTATTTAAAATAAAATTTAAAAAAATATATAAAGTTTGTGCTTGAATAAAAAAACTTGATCCTAACTCTTGCGGGAAAGTATAACTTTCCGCACTTGTTAGGATAATAACTATAATAAAATTTCACTTGTAATATTTTTTCAAGGAAATCTCAAGGGTGTTATAAGTCTGAAAGAAAATAATACCAATCTTAAAGTACTGGCATCCATGGGCGGTTGGAACGAAGGATCAGCCAACTATTCCAAAGTTGCTGCCAGTCCAACATTGAGAAGCAATTTTATTAAGAGTGTATTGAAATATGTTCAGGATAACGATTTTGATGGATTCGATTTGGATTGGGAGTATCCTACTGCGAGAAATGGAACAGATGAAGATAAGGTGAGAAAATTATTGCATATTTTTTTAGTGTTTTTGTTCACTAGATTTTTTTTTAAAAGCAAATTCAGCTTTGGTCGATTTGCTTCTTTGACTAGTCAATTACAGTCTTTTTGGTGCCTTTTAGAGACCCATATGAAATGAGAAATTGAAACCTGCTTTTGCATATCTAAATATAATTGAATAGTAGCAAATTTATGATAACATTGGCTATACAGGGTGTTATAAATTCGAGTGTGCGCATGGGGATCTCGGAAACCATAAGAGATTCGAAGTCGATTAAATTGAGGAAAAGTTGCGTAATTTTATGCTTACGTGCATAAGTGGTGTGTGAGGTCCTTTGATTTTTATATAAATCTGTATTTGTTCTTTTAATATATTTATATATGTTTCCCTTTTTATATTTCAATTTCTGTTTATTCCAGGCTCTTGTTGCTATTGGCCGGTTATTTTTCAAGTTGGCAACATATATTTTGTTTGGCCAGTGGCGTTGCTTATGGGGGGTTTCAGTCAAACCAATCGAAAACTCGAAATTTTTATTTTTCATATTTTCGAAATTTTGACTTTTCCAATTGATTCAGCGGATTTAAATTAATCGAAAAAAATTCTAACATCACGTTCAAAATGGCGATTTCAAAAAGCTAAAAAATCTCAATTTTCGTTCTGGAAATTTTTTCAAATCTTGACAAAGTTAGGAATAATGGCCAATTTCTTCAAAGAAATTTGAACAAATCAAAACAAATTATATATGTTTGGAAAGAGCATTAAATTCTCTATAAATCCATGCTAAATTGGTTCTGATAACTCGAAAACTTTCTGGGCAATTGGATCTCAAAGTAAACTTTTAGTCCAAATTTTATCAAAAATTTCAAACTCGATTTTCTCGAAAACCATAAGAGCTAGCGCTTTTAACTAAATACCATTTTAAAGCCCTTGTCAAGAGTTGGATTTCCTGAAAATTTCAATTTAAAATCTTCAATAGAATTTAAGATATCCAAAATCAAATATTTTGAAATAAAAATCTAAAGGGGTAAGTAACCCTTTGAAAAATTCGAAATTTGTATTGTTCATATTTATTGAATTTTGACTTTTCCAATCGATAGAGCGGGTCTAAATTAGTCGAAAAAAACTCTAACATCATTACAAAATCTTGATTTCAACACAGAGAAAAATTAAAAAGAAAATTTCAATTTTTAGGGTTAAATTTTGTTTTGAATCCTGACAAGGTTAGGAGTAATTGCCAATACTTCTATTAAATTTTGAGCAAATCAAAATAAATTATATATGGTTGGAAAGAGCATTAAATTATCTATAAATCAGTGCTAGATTGAGTTTCATAACTTAAATACTTTTTGCACAATTGAGCCTCAAAGTTGTTTTACTCGAAATTTAGTCAAAAACTTCAAACTCGATTTTCTCAAAAACCGTAAATGCCAGCGACTTTAACTGAGTACCATTTTGAAGCCCTTATTAGGAGCTACAATTTCAAAAAAAGAAGAAAGTTAAATTTGAAAATTTTGAAATAAAATCCAAACCCTTTGAAAAAAATTTAAAAACTCAAAATTTTCATTTTTCAGATTTTCGTAATTTTAACTTTTCCAATCGATAGAGCGGGTCTAAATTAGTCGAAAAAAATCTAACATCATTTCAAAATGACAATTTTAAAGAAAGATTTTTTGGATCTAAATTTAAAAAAAAAATCCTGACATGTTCATGAACAATTGTCCATATCTTCATTGAAATTTGAGCAAACT